AATTGTACATTAACATATACAAAAATATTATTATATTTGTCTCTTCAATGCAATTTGAGTTCATAGTAAAGGTTTAAATACCATTTTAAATATTTATAAACAGCAATGCCAAATCAAACAATTGACAATAAAAACCGTTCAAAGATAATTAAACCATATTTAAATGGAAATTCTTATCAGAAATTGAAAATATTCTTGCGTAAAAACAAGCTAAAATCTATTCAATTATTAAAAAAATTTTAAAATGATTTGATAAGAACGGTATTTAAAACATGATAGAACGGTAATTAAAAGGTGGTTTTAAAACTAAAATAATTAACTGTATAATACAAGGTACTACTCAAAATTGCGATGATGATGATTGTGGAACAACTCCTAAGGAAATTAAAGCAAAGACTTTTTGAACAAAGATTCATTTCAGTTAGTCATTCTACTAGAGCAAGATGCTTCAAAATCTTTTAATTCATAGAGGAAAGTGTTTTAGCTTGAATGCAAACGCAAACGGTCAAGAAATATTTCCGTCTGTTGTGCAATGAACAGAAATGGAACTTTGAAATATGAAGCACAAACAAGATCATTTACAGAAAGTTTTTTATATTTTATTCGTCTAATATTAGCACAATTAGTTGTTAATCAAATTGTTGGATCTATCTTAATTTTAGACAATGTTCACAATTATATTATTTTGTATATTATAACTTTTTGTTTAAACTTTAGTTTGCATATAAACTAAAAAATTATATCTTAATGAATTTAAAAAGAATCTTACTTTTTAACTTTTATATCAATTAAAGTATTCTATGTGCTGTTGAAGTTAAATGCAAAACAGTCAAAATCAAATGCAACATTGTCGAAATGTACAGTGTTAAAATATTATGCCAAAATAAGGAGGGAAACCATGTATTTTTAGAATCGCCTCTGGATAAATAAACAAACCTATAAACTCATTAATTTGATCAAATATTTTTTTCTTTATAAAAATGTTTTTTAAAATTAAATATGTTTAGTTTAATAAATACTTTTTTTACAATATTAAATAATTTTAATATGGAAATTAAAAGGAGGATAAATTTATTTATGTTTTAATTACTATTTTAAACTATATCAAATATTTTGCAACACACTTTATATCTATTCCCAACTTGTTCAATATTTTATCAAATGGTATAAAATAATGAAAAAAAGTTTAACAAGAATGAATAAAAAAGTTTAAATCAATTGACAACTGAAGATTTTATCTAATTAAAAAGCTAATAGGAAGCATTATTTTTACTTTTATACATTTACCAAAAAATAAAGCGTATGTTAGTAAGTGTTGTCGGTTGTTGATATAGTGCAAATTATGTTGGCATACTGTTAATTATGCTGATATTCTGCTAATTATGTTGATATATTACTAATTATGTTTATATACTGCTAATTATGTTTATAAACTGCTAATTATGTTGATATACTGCTAATTATATTGATTTTACTTACTTTATAAATTTATCAACTAAAACTTTGTGTTACTATTAATACTTTCAAAGACCACTCAAACGCACTGTATTCATTCGGTGTTCTTCTTTCTTTTTCACAGTATCGTAATACCAAGCTTGTTCGTTTGATTCTAGTACAACAAAAAAATGTATATAATTTCAAGTGTTTCAAGCAATTTTCATTATTTTTTCTTAAGTTAAATTTTCCTCACTCAATTAAATTCTATTGTTTTTTTAAAGATAATTTTGCTAGTTTATCCGATATTCTATGTAATTTTATATCTTATTTAATAAATTTATTTTATGGGGATTTATTCTAAGGTTTAATCTCTTTATAGAAATTGCTCTCTTTGTGTCATGTTCACTCTCACTTTGAATTGTGTATTCAACTTATTTCTTTACAGCTATTTCTGAAACTATGTACTCACACCTCCATGTATGTAAATAGCTTCAGAAAGCAAATAGACAACCAAGTTTCAACTTGGCGGCCCAATTATAATTTATAAATTTATAAATTGTGAAATTAATGTAAGAATAGGACTGCCATTACTTTTGAATGAACTTTTTTAAAAAAAATTCGAACCCAAACACTTTTAAACTATTTTAAAAAAGAGTTGGTATTTTTTCCAACTTTTTTTAAAGCTTTTATTTTATTTAAAATTGTAAAATAACAATACAAGCTAAGTACAAAACTGTTCGTTTATTTATAGAGACTTTTTTTACTGCATTTTATTTTTAAAAAAATCATTTTATATAAAAAAATAAATAAAACAAATAGTAAATTTTTTTTAATTATTTTTTATTTTTATTATAATAATTAACTTATTTTAAAACAAATAATCAAAAATATTGATATCAGACAAAAAATTTAATTATTATTATTATTTTTTTTAATGCATCTGAGGTATCATCCTGCAACCAATTTCCATTTACGTGTGAAAACAATTCAAGGCTAGAGAGCCATTTCACGAGATCATACCTAATTTCACCTTTGTCAGTTATATTTGAAAATCGGATGTTTCTCAGTGGACATTAGAAGTCTTTGACGTCCGACGGACGTCGAGTGGACGTTCAGACGTCCAACGGATGTCTGTTAAGCATCTTTGGACGTCCGAAGTCCACTGGGTTTGACAAAACATTTTCAGTTCTTCAGCTAGAGCCAATTCTTTGTAATAATTTCTAATATCGTCATCATTATTGACTTTTTTTATCAACATCAGAGTCTACCTCTCTAAGCTGGAATAATCTTTGAATGAGATTAGTAGCAAAATTATCTAAAATTATTTGCATAAATTATTATTTCTTTTTATTTTATTCTCAAACTGATTGTCTTGATTTAAAACAAGTGCGTGAAACAAATATATTATTTTTATGTACTAAATTATCATTTTATTAATTTAATTTTTTATTGACCGTATTACATTTTAGAACGTCAATTTTTTGTTGTTGTTTTTTAGGTGTCTTGTAATAGTTTGTGTTGAGCCACATTTTGTTTGTTGCAGCTTTTGGGAAAAATTAAAATGCTCCTAAACCTAAGATCTTCTAGACATGCCAACGCTTGGTAGCCATTTTTTGTTTGAAATTTTAATCCTTTATATTTTTAACTTAAACTTTTTTCAAACGTAAATAAACTGTGGTCAAGTTGTGAAAAAGTAATGGCGACGTTTAATTACTTTTTAATAAGAAAAAACTGACCCTACTTTAAATGTGATGGCGGCACAGGTAATGTAATTTTGTTTATATTTTTAGAGTTGCGAGACAAAGAAGGCAAATAAAGATAAAACATTGCTTTTAAAAAGTGCCACAATATTCAAAATAATAATTTTTACTTATATTTCAGCTGTATTTACAAAAATGAACAAAAAAGCATTTCTTTTTTTAAAATTTAAAAGTTTGAACTGTTAGGAAAAAAAGGTTCGAACCTGAATGTTGAAATTTTTGCGTAAACTTTGAAAGTTTGAGCCCGAACAAGTTCAAACTAGAAGCCCTATGTAAGATGTGGAGGGGGGTTTAGAGAAGCAATATTTAAACAACCTAATAAATAGATATTATTATAAACGCTTTAGATTTATATAACTTTTACAATATATAAAAAATAATTTAACTTGCTAAAAATTGATAAAATAAAAATATTATAGGATTTTTTTTAGAGAAGATATTGTTTCGCAATAAGTTTATGTTTAGCAATCTACTCAACCTGTTCCGTCCCCGTCTGCTGTCCCACTATGTATTATCATGGTCAAATATATTTTATTCAAATCTACTCAACTTACACTGACAAAATAGCAAATAAATTTAGTTATAAAGAAAACGTTTTTTAAATTGTATTATGGACGGTCATTTGAACGTTAGAGTTACTCTAACGTTCAAATGACCGTCATTATGAGAAGTAAATGAATTAAGAAAGACTATAACGTTCTATAAGACATTTGAAGACTATAAGACATTTGAACGTTATATACTCTAACGTTCAAATGAATGTTCATTATGAGAAGTAAATGAATTAAGAAAGACTATAAACACAAAAAAGTACATTTTCATGTTTGAATACTTATATAGTTTGTACAAATATCTAAAATTTAAACATAATTATAATGATTATAACAACAAATTTTTGTTTTTTCTCAATATTATTATAGAGTTAAAGTCTCTCATTTGATCAGCAACAATGTTTGGTCTTCATTTATTAGTATAAAATTTATGCAAACTTGTTTGGAGAAAAAATCTATAGCTATATAAATCTATAGTTTTGGATTAATTCAAAGAAATAGTTGCAAGTGTCTTAAAGAAGTTGCAACTTGTCTATCTTTTGAATCAAAAAAAAAGATTTTTTTTTTTGATTTAAAAGATAGACAAGTTGCAACTTGTCTATATAAAAACAAACAAAAAAATCAAATTAAAAAATGTTAAATATCAAGTTTAGCCAACGTTAGAATGTTTGATCGACAAATCATTATGATATTGCACCGACGATGAAATCTACGTTCGGCCAAAACTGACTAATTTGAAACTGTCCCGACGTTGGGTCAACGTATATGTGCTATCTTGGTATCTTTTGTTGTTTAAAGTCTTTATCCAGTTTTTCTAGTTTTTCCAAAGTTCATTTGGTATTTTTTAATTGCATCCAATTTTTAATTATCATAATTGACAGCACAATATTTTTTAGTGGTGTTAACCACAGGAGCACTGTTTCCCAATGCGTCAATTTTCTTTTTTAATCTTTACTTTTTTATTCCCGTTATTGATATAAGCAGCAAATTCAATGGATAGTTGATTTATTTCTTTACTCTATGGAAGCCCAAAAATTTTGATTCAGTCTCAACGTCGTTGTTTGTGACTAATATTTTAAGTACTTCTAAACTACACATTTGCTAAAACTCATCACGACCAGCATTCAATAAGAAACACTTTCATACAAGAATGCATTTGTCTCGCAGAATAATAATAAATGCATTTGTCTCGCAGAAAGTTCTCGCCATCCCAATAATATTAGTTCAATTCCATTATTTTTTGGATATTTTCCGAGAATCGTCGGTTCCATAGTATTTATTTGTTGATGATCAGAATTACCGAGTATTGTGTGAACTGGTTGCAACTTGTTACTCTAATTATCACCGCTAAAATTTAGTCTCCTAAGTTTTGCAAATTGTTTTTTTACTTTCTTGATGATCAGTTTAGGTAAGAAATTTAGAATTCTCTTTTTTATATTGGTACATTCAATCTTGATGCATGCTTTTAGAGTACTATTTAATTATAACTCATCGTTATAAATTTTCATACGCTTGTCTACCGTTTAGTATAGCTGTTTAATGCTTTTTTGTGTAGCTTTCAAGTTTTTTTAATAAGTTCGTACATATATACGAACTACGAGCACACATATTCAGTATTACACTTTCTTTTCACCATTTACTTTTGCAATGAGTGAAGAATTGTTCTCGAATTAAATACAGTACCAATGGTTTTTTTTTGCTTTCAAATTTACTACCAAACGTGGCATTACTATTTTCACAAATTGATGAGTGATTTTATATTAAACTTACTAGGTCCTTTTGCTTTACGATTTGTTGCAGAGTGTCCATATAATTTTTACAAATTCAACATACCCAGTCCCTCATTGTTTTCAGTCCCCTACAAAACAAAATGATGGTGTAGCACCAATTATACAGATTTCTCTGGAAGAATATTTACGGATTCAGTTTTTTTAAAATTAAAGATCTCTTTCTTTTTGAAATATCAAGATAGTTTGATCACTTCCGAAATATATAAAAGATATTGAGAAGATCCTTATTGGATGCATCATCATTCAACACTATTCGCAATGATTTAATATTTTCATTTTTTAGATGCTCAATGAAAATTTGAGTCATTGTATTGAAATTTTGTGGGGAAACTAAAACGGTGTTTCGTGTCATTTCCATGTATTTCGAAGTTGGATGCGTTTTTGGTAATTACCTACGCATCTATGAAAAAGGATGGCGAATCGATGATTATCTCATTATACATATATACTTTTTTTTAAGTTTTTATTAAGATTATTCACATTTTCAATATTGTTACAAATTGCTATTTATTGATACAACTAACTAATCTAAAAACAAGTTTTTTTTATTAATTATTATGACAATAAATAATATACATATTTATGTATATTCAATATTAGATTTTATTAATATTTATTCCATTCGTAGTATTATGACAATATTATAATTTATGAAAATAAATGTAAAAATATAATAAATTTAAAAATGTATATAACACACTAAACTAATATTGATAATGACATCAATATTTACTACATTTGTAGTATTACGAATATGTATTACACTCATTATATATAACATATTACTAATGCTTTATATATTACTAATATATAACACATTATTAATATGTTATATATTACGAATGTAACAGATATTAATTACATTTAGTTTTACAGTTAAACAATATTTCTTAAAAACTTCACTTTGATATTTATATAATAGTTTCACTTGTAAAATTATGTTTTTGTTGTGTAGGAAAATGTCAACTTGGTTAAATCAATGGAAGGAGACTAATTTTATGGCTGTTATAAAATGTGTGACCTACAAGGAATACTTTAGCATACCTTTCAGGGATCAGGACAAGTTCTGGACTCCACATTTCACATAAGATTATTACACGAGAACTCTTGAAGGTTAGTTGAACAATTCCTTCTTGCTTAGATGTACTGAATGATTTTGTAGAACTATAATGATTTAGATATATGTACTCTCAGGTGCTTCAGGTACAAGTTGGGGTGGGAATTTTTTGACAAAATCTAATAAATGGGGCGGGGCTTTTAATAAAAAGACGGGTGGGAATTTTTTCTTAAATCTTATAAACCAGGGTGTTTTTTTAAAATCTTTTAAACCAAGGGGTGTTTTCTTGAATATTATTAATGGTTTTATTAATGGAATTTTGGGATTGTTCCAGATAATAAGCAGAATTTTTTTAAAATAAGGGGCATCTTAAGTTCTAATAAATGGGGAAAGGACTAAATTCTTCCATTGTACAAACTAGATTTCTCAAATAGAAACAAATAATTTTTAAAATAGGTTTCATTAACAATTTTAAAAATATAAACATAATCTATTTATTGAAAGCATTCCTCATTGAATCATTATCATTCCAGTGCTCAACTTTACTTGATCTATGTGACACCATGTTAAATATATAAGTATTTTTTATTAAAAATTTTTATAGTTTGAACTATAGTCAAAATCTATAACTATAGCCAAAAAGAACTATAGTCAAAAAGAACAAGCATAAAACAGTTAATTTATAATAGCTATATCCTATTTTCAATAGGATTTAATATGCTTATATAAGTTTTATACTATGGTAAGGAATATTGTGTGTTTGATAGTGATCTCATTTTCGGTCAAGATTATGGTAAGGAATATTATGTGTTTGATAGTGATCTCATTTTCGGTCAAGATTATGGTAAGGAATATTATGTGTTTGATCTCATTTTCGGTCAAGATTGACAAGATTTTTTAATAGGTTAAGATTTCTGCATTTCTGGTCACCTTAGTTTACACTGAATGTTTTTTTTTTTAGTTATGAGATAAAGTTTCTTTGTTGAAAATAATTAAAAGTTAATAAAATGGGGAGGGGTATGAGTCTTGATAAGCTCAGTGTAGGTGGAAAAAATTCCTGAAAATTATTTAATAATCTGCATTTTCCCATCCGTGATGCAAAGACACCGTTTAAAATTCCTAGATCTGTTGATTTTTACTCTAAGTGTGGTGGCAGTTATATGTAATTAGGAATTGAATGTGGTGTAAAGTGGAAACTTTAGAAAGTTCCGTCACATATTTTAAAATAAAATTTAGCTTCTCATTAATATTAATGGTTTATTACTATTTAAATTTACAAGTACACTTATGTGACCTAATTTATGCCGTTTTAGAAAGTCAGAAATTTATTGGTTCTATATATCTTAACCAAATTCATTAGATGATTTTTTAAATTACTTTTTGATTGTAAAGATCTTTACACTTATTTCTTTGTTTTTAATGGTATAACATATATGTTATCTATTAAATCAGTTGTTTGTGATGTACTTGCTTGGAAATTCATGAAGTATATTTAATCACACATAGGTTATTTTAGTTATGAACACTGTTCTGTAAAAAGCTTATATGATGGATCAGTTGTCTTTTCAATAGATGGGTCTTGAACTTGTAAATTTTCTTGTTTACAAATAAATAAAATTGCAAGCCGTTTGGTAATTTTAAATGTGGAAATACCTTCAGAATTTTCAAGACAGTCATGAACTGTAATAGAATGGAATGAGGGGAATGTTAACGGTTTTTGTTGTATACTGGATGTATTGTGTTAAAAATCTTGTTAGTGAAGATGTTTATACTTCTATAAATTATCTGTTGAATTTAATATTTTATAAAGTTCAAGTACAAACAACAGAACTCATGAATTTGCCCAAGAACTTCTTGTTGATTACGCTTTTTCTGCTATTAAAAATTTGGGGCTTTTTCCACTTACAACGTGCACGATTTGCTTCACTGGCGTTGTTGAAAACTTCGATTGTTTTCTTGATGACCTTTGATTTTTGCTGACCTCATATCTATGTTGTTGTGGTGAAACCATTGTGTTAAAAATTTTGTGCCGACCAAAAATACCCTAATTTTTTTAATTCTAAGGGCTAAATAGGTAACTACAAAATTTGTTCTTCACCGGGTAAATAATAGTTTGGCAGTCTCAATATTTATTTGAGCTGTCAGACTCAATTGAAAATGGTGAGACTTTATATGATACATCACTACTATGTTGGGTGGTTAACATTGTTTGTGCTGTTTGTCATCTTTGAACCTTTTAACCTGTCTTAATGAAATGCATGTTTCACAGGCTAATTGACACAGGTTTATGCTGCTAAAAATAATATCTTTTGGAGATAATGATTTATTAAAATTAAGGCATTACTCTTTTTATCTACTAACTTAGCTTTTAGCTAATTAGCTTTCTTTTATAACTTATATCATTTATTTAAATTTAATTTTTTCCCTCAATATTTTTCTTGAGAGTTGTGTGATAATTTTGAGTTTACTACTCAAACTGATAGCCAAATAGAATCACAATTTTTATGATAAATGTTTTCAAAAGTTGTTAAAATATGTTAGATACATTTTAATATATCTTATTCTGATAAGATAAAGTTAAAAAGAATATTATCCAAATATTATTAGTTCTGTGCTGATATTATTTTTTAGAGTAGCCCACTACCATATCATTTTAGCAGAAGAGTAAACAAACCATAAATATGCAACAGAAAAGCAAGCATGTACTTGTAACAAATTCTTAGCAAAAAAAATAAATAATAATAACTCATTTGCATACTCAGCAAGCTATGGCAACAGGTATTGGTTGTATATTTGTTTATCTACAATTTGTTTTGGATCTTTCTGTAATTAGCAATAAGGTGATGAAGACATGCACAAAAAATATGCTAAGGTGATTTTTTTAAACGTTCTAAAGAGAAATAATTTTGAATAAATAATATGAAAAGTAAACGCAGGTTTAATTCACCGTATAATAATTCAAAAATACTTGTATAAATTTTGCAGGTTTAAAAAAAATCTTTTCTATTAAATGTATTAAAGTTTTTTTTAAGGCAGCCTCAAAGTACAGTCATGCTAGAGTATATATACCTATACTTTTAAATATATCAATACTTTTATTTACAAATAATGTTTTCTTGAGTCAAAGAACAACTTTAAAGCAGAAAGATTTGTTTTATGCCGCATCAGATGTTCAGTTTACTTTTCTAAAATAACATTTATGATGCAAGTTGTTGAGCAATCTTCGCAATTTAAGTTTGTCATTTACTAAATCAGTTTTAATCTAAATTCAATATGTAAAAAGATATCTGTTTAAGTTGTAAAGAGAAATCTAGTCAGATGTTTATTTATCAGCAATCAAACTAGTTAGCAATTTAAATTAATTTTGGTCGGTGGTAAAAAGAAGTTCAAAAGAACAAATATAAGGTTGTTATGTGCAAACCATGATTTAAAGTAGCTATTCATACAAATCTTTATTTGTTTACTGTTTAATTTTGGTATTATAATGCTACCTTAGTTTCAAATTCATTTAGTTACAAATCGTTCAAACAAAATACTTTTATTGTTGAGAGCACCACGTTAATCGAATGCAAGAGTGGCCGATGTAGGAAAGGAATTCATGAACTTGTTAAGATCAAATGGTGGTGGTCGGTGCAGAAAAAATAAAATATCTATTATTAAATTTTTTTTTTTTTTTATGAGCTACTAATTGAATATTTTTTTAAATAAATTGAAATGTAAAAAAACTTATCTGTAGCTTTTTTATTTTATTAAAATTTTAATTAAATACAGAATTCGCTTCTTAAAATGTTGTATTTTTTATAGTGTTATTTTGTGCAGACATTTACCTTTTTATAACGGATCACTGCTAATTTAAAAAAGTTTATTTCTATTGTCGTTGAAATGTTTCTAGTTGATTTGACTTTTAAAAAACATTGAAATTGTGACATTTCTACATTATGGTTTTTAGCGATTTTGTTTCCAAATCTTGCAAGTTTCAACGCTTTAATCCTAATTACAAGAATAGATAGTCTGGAAGCGCATAATAGGTAATACCTTCAGGAAAAAAACTTACCAAATAAAAGTTATTAAATAAAATCTCAAGATATCACTGTGTATTATAAAAACGTACTAGAGCTACATTACAAGAAAAGAAAAAATATAAAAAATAGTTTTTAACGATTTCGAACAGTTTCTTAAAAAACTGTAATATATTAAGTTATTGATGGAAAACATTTCATACCGACATGTGAGTGAGAGTCTAGCTTATACTATTCGAGCTTATGGTTTTTACCAGACACCTATCCAGCATTTTCTGATGTTTAAGATAACTAACTTCCAAACGTGAAACGAACTCCAAAGATTTATATATTTATATTTACGTCAGAAAATAATGATTTGCGAAAATTGCGAAGATTGGAAGTTTTTCTACTAACAGTGGAATGTCGTTCCAGATTTTTCCCAGTATTTTGGTGGACTATATCAATATTAGTAAGAACATGTAAATTGAAAGTTATTGCTGTAACTTGTGCATTACATAATGATGCATTTTATAAAATGCATACACATAATGAAAACAAAGCAAATGGTATAAGATATGAAACAAAAAATATTTAAGCACAGATGCCGTTATTTTATAGGGGGACCGGTTCAATTTGTTATCAAATAGGCCCAAACAAAAATTGACATTGACATGATTCAAAAACAAATTCAGCTTTGACAAATGCAGTGACAAATGCAGTGACTTTTTGATTTAAAATATTTATAACCAGCAAAAATATAGAACATTTAAACAAAATAATATTAGTTTAGTGTTGCACCTGTAATTTTGGCGTCCTTGCAAGGAATAATATTAGTTAGTTTACAGCTGCACCTGTAATTTTGGCGTCCTTGCAAGGCAACGGAGGCAAAGCACCTCAACAACAAGGGTTTCAAAGTCTGGGACACAATTGTAAATTTCAAACAAAAGTCAACTTCGGAACAAACCATTATTAAAGATAACTCCGGAACAAACCATTATTAAAGATAAATGTAGTCACAGCTAAATTTTACTATAAAAATGCGAAATGTAATTTAAATAATTTTTTAAACTTACTAGAGATTATATAATATTAAATGCATACTCCATCATAAAAAGAGGTGTTCCAATTTTAAGTGCATTATTAGAAATACATTTCTTAAATTTGGACCAGATAAAGCTTATGAATCAGTATTTCTGTTGGATATTTCATTTCTTGCTGGCTAAAAAAACACTTTTTTAAAGTATTTTGTAGACTGGAGGGAGAGCATAAGAGAGCATAAGGCCAGAAATATTCTCCTAATAATATTTTCATATTAAAATAAATATTAATAAAAGGATTTTCTTATGCATTAACCAAGATATTTTCTAAGATGCTTTTAACAACTATGGTAAGCAGCAAACCATAGGTTGCAATAGAGGTCCATACCTTAAAGACACTGGCTACAATAATATTATAAAATCTGAATTTAAGATCCAAACCCTTCTATACTAAAGAATATATACTAAAGAATGCATAATAGACATGCATAATAGACATTAAAGAATGCATAATAGACATACAAAAGAATGGGTAGTTAAAAATACACTGGTTCCCAAAAATTTTAGAAACAATAAATTAAATTGAATTTAAACCCTACCTCTTGTAAAACCTTATTTCATGAATATTTACACTAACACATATTCATAAAATTATTCACCGTCACTGAAAACATTTATTAAAGAATGCATAATAGACATACAAAAGAATGGGTAGTTGAAAATACACTGGTTCCCAAGAAGTTTAGAAACAATAAATTAAATTGAATTTAAACCCTACCTCTTGTAAAACCTTATTTCATGAAGTAAAAGTTTTTTTAATAGATTAGCTGTAAATATTATTTGTGGCCTCCATAATCATTTCAGTAAATTTCAAAATAAGAATCTTTCTTAACTTTTATGCTTGTTTATTTAAAAAATTGAACCCTTTATTTTTAATTTTAATAAAAACTACATTCTACTAAAACACTAATTACTGATAAAAGTCTACACTTTTAAAATTTTGAAAAATAACATATTATATTATAATATATTATTATATATTATAAATTATTATTATATATAAAATTTCTTATAAAATAATATAAAAGCTCTTAGATAAACCTTATACATTTATGACTAAAATACTGAATTTGGAAAAGCATTTTTATCTTTAATAACTTGAGTTTTTCTTTACATTTACATAGGTAGATAATATTACATGATGTACAACTGAAACATCTCAACTAACAAAAAAAATTTTCTCGATTTTGTTTGGCTTTTTTTAATGATTCTAAAGATTCTGTTTTTGGTATTTATTTATTTATTTTTAAACAATTTTTTATTTGTTTTGTATGTAAATGTGAAAGTAAACAAATAAAAAGAATCAGTATGTGATGCAATACTATTTAACAATTTTTTTGTCAATTTCTGTTTCAAAATTTAGGAAGTTTTAGGAAGGTTACGTACTTGTTAAAAGAAGAACTTCAAAAAACAGTTATTGAATGATTGCAAAATCAATATTTTACTGAATATTTACACTAACACATATTCATAAAATTGTTCACAGTCACTGAAAACATTTATTAAAAGATCATTTATTTTTCACAATCCAACTATATCTCTATTATCTACAAGTTTTTGTTCCTCTTGAACTTTTGATATGATATATATAAAATATACTCTAAACAGTAAGTTTGTCAGTAAGTTTATTTTATTTAATTTCTAAACAGTAAGTAATTTCTAAACAGTAAGTTTGTTTGTCATTAAATCTTTTTTTTTGTAAAAAATTTGATTAAATAGGATAATAATTTTTAGTTAAATTAATTAGAAACTAGTTTATTTTAACATTAGTAAAGAGCACACAAAAAAATAGTACCTGAAACCTAGTAGATAAACCACTAGGTTACTCTATATAACTAGTGATAACCTATTATTAATAGCTTATTACTAGTTATAACCTATTAGTTATTAGTTATAACTAGTTATAACCTATTAGTGGAATTAAAATAAGACTCTAGTAGTTAATAACAATTTCTAGACAACTAAAATAAATGTTTGAAATGTGAAAGACTGAAATCATTTTAATCATTTTTTATTTTTATATGATATACAATTAAAAGGTTTATTTATGGTAAAACTAAAATGAAAAGTAAATAAATGGTATATTATAACATTTATTTAGTTTTACCATAAATTAATTGTTTAATATTGCTTTTTATACAATTTATGTACCTTTTAGTTCTTAACTACCCAATGCTGTGTGCTAGAAGGTTAATAACATAACTGCATGGTAGGCAGCTGAATATCTTTTTAAAATAAACTTTTAATTAGTTTTTTAAATAGATGTTATAAATTTACAAATGCTGCATGAACTATATATATATATATATATATATATATATATATATATATATATATATATATATATATATATATATATATATATATATATATATATATATATATACATATATATATATATATATATATATATATATATATATATATATATATATATATATATATATATATATATATACATATATACATATTATATACATATTGTATACATATTGTATAAATATAAATATATACATTTAATGCTGATTATTTTAACTGTTTATCCAGCAATCTATGAAATTTTTTGAATTCAAATAGAATGCTGCAATTTGAATATCTGCATAATCGTGGTCAATATTACCAAGATTACGCAGATATTTGTGATTATTCCATTTTAATATTGAACGCTCAAGATCATATATATGTGACATCAAGATATATATGTGGCTGTGAATTGTTGGCAATTGATATTGTTGTTAAACATCCCCGCACAGCTCTAATAAAAAGCTTATATATTTAATAATTTTATGGTTTATAATAATTTTATTTATAATTTTAACCTACTTTTCCAACTCAGTTTAGAAATATATCTTAAACAGATTTAATAGCTACCAACTATCCAATAAAACCAGTTTTTAGACCAGACAATATTATAAAAATTTATAAAATTGTTTAACTGCAACATGCATTTAATTAACATAAAAGTCAGCAAACTATAGCATATAATCATAATACTTAACAGCAGGTAAACAGTATATATAACTTTAGTTATGAAGATATTTCAAAGAGATGTTTTGATTATTTTTATATTAAAGATTTAATTAATACATTTTTTTGAAACAAATGTATTTTTACATACATTTGCATCCTTAATTGTATTGAGTAATTAAGTAAGAAATGATCATTAACTTTTTAATTTTTTTTTAAATTTGTTATAAATAACATAATTCAGACCTGTTTTTTTAACAGTATAAGTGACAATTTATGCAATAATAGCATTCAAGTATAATATAATTCTAGAAGAAACCCTTGAGTTTCTGTGTACTCACAATTCTCAATTAATAGTTCATGCAGCATTTTTACAAATTGGTATCTTGTTACAAAAAATAGAGAATATAAAATTATAGGTAGACATGATTGCTGCTTAACATGCTGTTATGTTATTAACTTTCTAGCATACTGCATTGGGTAGCTAAGAACTAAAAGGTACATAAATTATACATAAAACTAAAATTGTAAATTTTACTAATGCCATTTAATAATAAGTTCAATTATAAAAAAAGATTATAAAAAATTCCTTTTTTTTTCATTATTAATTATAAAATTCATTATTTTCTTCTGTTTCTTACAAGTTTACAATCTTGTTTAATTTTTTTTTTTTT